CGATATCTGGGTCACGGCAAGGTGGGGAGATGCCATAGAAGGTGGTTGGGAGAAGGAGGTGGAGAGACTACAACTTTGATAGATGGGGATCCAAAGAAGACGAGAGTGGGGAGATGATTCGGGATAGACATGTGTGGGCCCTGTGTGACGCGTGTCGCACTCACTAGATTGTTTACGCATCGAGCAAATTATTTTGAAGTACACACATTTTGCAATACATAAAGGGTCACATTATAATACACAAATAATAACTTTTAATGCATGATGATTCTTTTAAAATGCCAACGGATATATTTTAGTACACAATGTTTTTTAAGATATATCATGCACATTTTCAAATACACGGTGAATATTTTTTAAATACATGTTGAACATTTTTAATACACAGCGAACACTTTTCAATGTATGGCTAAAGGTTTTGAATTATACTATGGGCAATTTTGGCAAACACAATGAATTTTTTAAATACATGAGGAACGGTTTTTAAATTCTCTAATAAATATTTTATTAATACAGGATGAATACTTTTTAAAAAGTGTTCACACATTTAAGAAAAAAATTCACGTAGCTATAAAGAGTGTTAACGTCTGATGGGTATTTTTATATCACATGATAAACATGTTTGAATTACGTTATGAATAATTTTTAGTGCACAACAGACAAGATTTTAAATACAAGATGATTTTTTTTAATTTGCGATGATTTTTTAACATGATGAACATTTTTTACCACACTTTTTTTGGTAATACACATGAACTTTTGTTATATCCGCGAACATTTCTTTGATGTATGTGAACACTTATATTCTTTTAGCTCGTGTATTTTAACCAAGAGAATAGTAAAGCTGGAAATAAAATAATAATATTTGACGAAAGTGCGTGCCTAACTTTAACTCTTTTAGTGGATGTATATGTTGTTTTTTTCTGTGAATTAGAAGAAGTGTGTTGCTTTTTTTCTATGTGAAATAGAGGAAGTATGTTGCTAGCCCTTTTTACTCAGAAGAAAAATACCTACAGAATAGCAGCGTCCACCAACTGTACACCCTGTCATGTGCAGCCCACCCAAATGTTCACTCACGGCTTTGTCAACTCTCCGTTACCAAGCAGTAAATGACATCTCCAATATCGAACTGTCCCATTGGTCCACTTAGCAGGAGCATGAGCGCTCGTCCACCCTATCGCCCCTTTCGATCTGTACATGCAAAATAAGAGTAATAACGTAAACTTTGAAAAAAAAAGTACGGATAAAATCTAAAGATCATCTTTAACCATGCAAAGTCTATGATCATCATGTAGCAAACCACACTTACTCAGGTCTTTGTCGGGCCTCACTATGTGGGGTCGATGTCCATGTCGTCGTCCTCTCCGTACACCTTCGTGTCTTCATCCGCCGCGTGCGCGTCCACCTCTGCCTCTGCGTGCACCTCCATGTTGTCATTCACCGTAACATGGCCGGCTTCTGCGTTTAGTTCCGCGTCCACGACGTGTGCGTGTGCATCCACCTCCGCGTCCGTGTGCGCATCCAACATCGTCAGTCGCAGCTTGGCCGGCTGTTGCGTTTACCTGCGCGTCATCGTTCGCCGTACCTGGCCGACTTGGCCGGCTGCTGCATGCACGCCCGTGTCCCCGTGCATGGCGTCCTTGTCCACTGCACGTACACCTCCAAGACAGCCGGCACCACCGCCGGCACCGCCCACACGTATCATCGTCTTGCGCCCGGCGAGCATCAGTCGGCCGTGTACGGAACGGTGCCAGCAGCCACCTCGACGATCGTTACATCACATTGATGTCATTGTGAGACCCGGGCACATCACATTGACGTCATTGTGAGACCCGGACACACCAAGGAAAGCATGCCAAATCCAAAGATCATATGATGCAACTGCTTCAAGAATGATGGTGCCCTTGTAAAACCTTCGGACAGTTCTTCCATTTCCAATGCATGCAGTCAAGAGATTCAAGCAAACCTAGCCACCCTCTTGCTTCTGAGATTGCCAGGAGCCTCTCGGTGTCTGCCACAGTTGGTTCTCTCTGGTACCAAGACAGTTGCAAACCTGACCGTGGCATCTCCGCATGTGCTCTCAGACATCCATAGGTACTTGTCCCACGAGTTGGCGGCTGTGACATACGCAAGCATCCGGAGGGCGGCCGTGCACCTCTGGTATCCAGAGAAGCCAATCGTTCCGACGACATCCTTCAAGATGAAGTAGTCATCGTAGGACCGGACGCCATGGTACAAATCATCGAAGACGGTCTTGCGCATCCGAAAATGCCGGCGAAAATGGTCAGCGAAGAGTGCATCCGTGGCAAAGTAGTCGGACATCAATGTGACATGCCTGCACACCCTATTGCGGTTGAGCACTCGATGACCCTTGATCGAGCCCTTGAAATTGAGAACATGCTCCTCCGCACGTACGCTCTGTGTCTTCAAGGACCGCATGCACCATCCTCGTCTGATCGGATTACTCCTCCTTGTCTGGCGAGCTATCGGAGGACTAGCATACTCCTCGTGTATGTACTCCAAATCGAAATCTATTGCTAGAAAGAAGAAGGGACATCTGTTTTTAGCTATGGTGATTCATCGAGTAGTTGCCGGGCATGGTAGAGGATGCTACCTAGCGGGGCGGTCGGAGGACAGGGAGTTGAACGGAGATGGATGAGAAGCGGTAGGGAGGCCTGCTGGATCGCCGGAGGTGACGAAGACGTAGATTTCCGACAAGGTATGGTAGAGGCGCATGTACCAATTAACTCTGTTTTAACGTTTTCTAGTACTATACTATGTTTTGGGATGCATGGAATAATATCTACTTTTGCCCATTTTCTGTTTCTGTTTTCTCTCTCTCCGAATTCTTAGCAAATGGGATGTATAATATTGCAATTTGGGCCCAACAACTTTAACGTTTTTCATTTCTTTTTTCAGGACGAATTCAAATGCTTTTCAAAAAATTCATATCTTTCAAACCCCAACTCCAAATCTAACATGTTTTATATGAATTTCACTTAGAAAAATATGTAGATTTCGAATATGCTATTATGTTGCATGTTAATCATTTCTAAAATTATGTTTAACGTACAACCTTAATTAATACCTTCTTTATATGGGGGTGTTCTGGAAAGGCCTATTATATATGTTCCCTACCCCATATAAATTGAGTAGATATAATAGTTTGATGCTCTCACAAAATATATTATTGCCACCATAGGAGATGGTTTTTTATGGCCATAGGGTATGTTGATTCCAACCCCATACCATATGCTATAGGTTACAATAACATACGCTAAAGGTTACAATAGATCGAAAAGTACATTCTGCACCCGAGCTCATATGCTCCCGCATGAATAGTAAAATCGAAAATAATTCAAAAAAAATTCAAAAAATTCCTATTTTTTTTAGAGAAACATTGACAAAAGTTCTAAGTGCCTGCAAAAATTCATCATGAAATCACATTCTTGTAAGGCGTGGCAAAAAAAACAAATTCAATGCTTCAAAATGCGTTTGAAACTAGCTTTTTCAGAGTACTATATTTGTTTTTTTTTGCCACGCCTTCTAGGAATGTGATTTCATGACGAATTTTTGCAGGCACTTAGAACTTTTGTCAATGTTTCTCCCAAAAAAAATTTGGAATTTTTTGAATTTTTTTTCGATTTTACTGTTCATACGGGAGCATATGAGCTCGGCTGCAGATTAGCCGCGTCCACAATAGATACATAATCATCCTCTCTATTTCACACAGTGCACGATAACCAACCCGTATACAGTGATGTACACTTAACTATTGATGCGAGCTTTGTGCCCGTAAAGATTTTGGGAAACACCTTAAGTACACACACAACACCACTTAGCATGTTGTTGGTTGTATGGCATCATGAAACGTTTAAGTGAATTCGCTGATGTCGTCGAGTGGGTGTATGAGGGGTGATTTTTTTTCTTCCGTTGCAACGCATGAACATATTTGCTAGTAATATACACACAAAACAAGATGAAGCAAGAAATTCCACCCACATTTATTTCTGATTGGTACAAACT